ATGGAGGGGCCAAATCAACAGTTCCTAGAAAGGAGTTCTCTGGAGATACAGACCTAGGGAAGAATCTGAGCATGATCATCCTGCCAGCTCACTTCCATTCTCAGGGTCCCAAAAGGTGTGTTCACAGGACCTGCAGGCAGGGAGCTGTGTGTGGATTCTGGGGCTACTGCATTGGAGTTCAAGCTCCGCCACTTACTGGCTGTATAATCTGGGACAGCCAACTCGACTTTGCTCTTCAGCTTCCTCATCTGGAAGCTGGGTACAGTAATTGTATGTGTCTCCTAAGACCATCATGAGGATTGAATAAGACAATGCCTAGAAAGCACTCGGACCAGAGCCTGGCACGTAGGAAATGCTTAAAAAACACCATCATTGTCATCTTGGATGTAGGCTGTATAGATCTGTGCCATCTCCCTTCTTTGAGGGAACCTCATCTCGCCAAGCCTGAAAAAATCCTGCCCAAGCCTTCTGGTTCTAGAAGCAGATGCCTCTGAGGCTCTGGAGATGAGCATATAACTGAGCCCCAGCCAATCAGTCTTCTCTTTCTCTGTCACAATAAGGTCAAGGATGGGCATGTGACTCAGTCATAGTCAGAGGCTTCTGTCTCCTGACCACGGTGATAGGTTCAGGGGGAGCTCATGACTTGGTCCTGGCCAATGAGGTCAAGGCATGAGCAGACAGTTGGTCACCTCAAGGATGACAATACTTTAGAACGAGATAGACTCTTTCCCTCTAATCAGGGAGAATCCACAGAGAATGAATGAAATGAAAGCAGCTGAGTGGAGAAGAGAGGAGCCCTTGAAGGTACTTCACTGAGGTCAGGCCTGGGCCTGCATGTCTACTTAGCTGATGGGGTCGCTGCTTTATCAGTGGCTCTGGTGTCTGTCTCTTGGAATGAAAAGAAGAGTGAGGAGCTCACAAGGCTCCTTTCCAGGGTACATGGCCTGAGGGAAGGGACTACTTTGTAGCAGTTCATTTTGTAAGTATTGCATGTAGAATACTAAAAATTGTCATCTTCTCTCAAATGGAGACTTTGATCAACAGGGATGATCACCGGCCAAATTCCCCACTCGGGCCTCACCCCACCATGATCTGATGGCTCATTCTAGCCTTGGACTCTTGCCCTAACTCTGCCCTTCAGCATGGGAGCAGGCTCCACCTCTCCAAGCACAGATGGCCCCCGAGTGGCCACTCTGACATGCCTTTAACCTCAGTGTGTGCCAGGTTCTGAGGGGGCTGGGGACGGACTGCCTGGTTGGAAAGGGCAGCAGGCTGTGTGTAGGTGAGCAGACAAGATTCCAAGTGACAGTTATAAAATGTCAAGTTTGATGAGTGTTATTGTCAGCCTCCATGGGGAACCTGGTCTCAGCAGCCCGTGACAGGTCTGCAGCCTGCACCTGTGAGGCCTGGCAGCACAGCCTGACTGCTACCTGCCTCCCACTCAGCTTGAGTCCTCGAGGGGAGGAAAACAAACCTTCGCATTCTTTCCAAATCAGTAGAGCTCTTCCTGCACAAACACAGAACCAGAGTAAATTACCTGTGTCAAACTTCGTTTTATTCAATTACAGGAGAGAGTGCAGTGCTTCTTAAGTGATTTAGGGAAGGTAACTCTCCCCACTTCCAAAAGCAATTATGAGATTTCTCGTACCATATTGTGATTCCTTAAGAGTTTATCTGACAGGATTTCTCCCTCTCCATATGGCATTTGCTGTCAGTATGGAAACAAGGCTGTTATAAACGCACAACACAGTAAACACCATGTGATTCTGACATAAGCTGTCAGCACCTCAGCTCTGTGCCTCTCCCAACTGTACAGAGCATCCCAGGCAAGGGAGCCAGGGAAGAAGTAAAAGGACCCATAATCATCCTTTCAGATTTTTCCCTAGCCTCAATAAAGATAAATGATACCATCTTCTGAGGAAGCACCAAACACAACAAGGAAATCAAAACACAATGTTTGCAGTTCCTATAAAAGTGGATAAGGAAGCAAAAGGATGAAAAGTATGAATCTGGGGATGATCAAGTGCTGGGGCGGTGCAGACCAAGTTCTTGTTGTGATAAGAGCAAACTCGAGATGCTCATTCAGTTGCTGCTGAAGCTGGGCATGAGGAGCTCTGCTGTGAATGCTTGGAGTAGGCCCTTTCTGCTCACGTTAGTGGTGGAAACTGGCTGCACCCAGGTGGTGCAACCCTGATTCCCAGTGTGGGCCTTTGAGCTGCTGAGGACAAGCTCCAGGAGCGGGGGAGCCTTTTCTCTGTCTCTCAGGCTGGGAGAACCTGGAATGGCGTACAACCAGGCACACATGCACAGCATACACAGTTGTGCACACACACACACACACACACACAATTTGGGGTCTTCTAAAACATGGAAATCTTGCTTTGGGCCATATGTTTTATTGGTGCTTTCCTTCAAGCCAGAAAGAAGCTGTTGTGTATAAGGGAACACCAAGTTCCCTGCCTTTAAGTATCTATAAAGGCACACATGCAGCATACACAGTTGTGCACACACACACACACACACACACAATTTGGGGTCTTCTAAAACATGGAAATCTTGCTTTGGGCCATATGTTTTATTGGTGCTTTCCTTCAAGCCAGAAAGAAGCTGTTGTGTATAAGGGAACACCAAGTTCCCTGCCTTTAAGTATCTATAAACCACCCAAGCATTCTGTTTGTTCTTTTGGGCCTTCATTAATTCAACAAATTCACTTCTAAGCTCTCTTATTTCTTGATACTGGAAGGTTCCTTTAATTTTAAGTGTCTCTTTTTAAATTTGGGACTGGGCATATGACCAGTGTAGCATGCTGCTGAGTAGAACTTCAAGAACGGCTTGGAGAAAATGGACAGAAAGCGGTAATTGATTGGGGATGGCCGATGAGGCGGGAGGGAGCAGACGTCACAAGCTGCATCAAGTGAGGGGGTCTGCAAATAAATGTGTTTGGTGCAGAAAATAACCAACTGAACACACACGTGGAAACATGCAGGGACAGCTGAATCACTTCCTTCTTGGGTGGGAATTTAGCTCAGTGGTTTTGCCGCGGGCCTTGCAAAGTCCCGAGTTCAATCTCTGGTACCAAAACCCAAACCAAAACAAAACAAAAAAAAAAAACCACTTTCTTTGCTAGGTCCAGCAGGACGCTTACCGAGTTGTCAACCAACAGAGGGCGCAAAAAGACAAGGGTCCTGTCCTCACCACCTTTACCTGGCAGTGCCTCTTAGTTTGTTCTCAAAATGACCACCTCAGGTCCTTCCCTAAGCATACCACCACTGAAGAAGAGTGAAGTCTCTGCTCTGCCCAGTAATTCTCTGTGTAACTGTGTCCTCATTACTTCCTTTTTAGGCCTCAGTTTCTTCATCTCTAAAATGGGAGTTAAAGTGAGCAAAGGAACTAAATTCCTTTGCAACTTGGAGACCAAGCTCCTTAGGTACAAGATTCACAAAGGCAGAAATTTACAGGGACTGGGTCCAGATTCATGGTCAGTTCTGGAGCTCAGTTTTAATCAGGATTCTTCCAAAGTTCTCTGTCCAGTCCCCGTGGGGATTCCAAGTCTGGCATCATCCCCTACCTCACTTTGGTTCTAAGTCAGAGGTTACCAAACTTTCCCATAAAGACTGGTAGTAAATGTTTTGACCTCTGAAGGCCATATGGTCTCTCTCAACTATTCAAGGGTGCTGTTGGAGTGAAAGTCTTCACAACCATTTATAAACTACCCATGGTTATAAAACTTCATTTACAAGAACAGGTGAAAAGCCATGTTTCACCTGCACTCTGATGCCTGCTTTTCCTAGGCATCCTAGCCCTCCAGCCCTGTATGATATAGTGTTAACACAGCTTCCCTAACTCTCTCTCTTTCCTGGGGTTAGTGAGCCCCTGGATGTCTTGAAAGAACTAGGAAAGAGCTGCTAAGTGTGGAAGAAGACCATGTCACCTGAGCCTGTGACCAATAATAGAAGGGAACAGGACTGAAGTCAGAAAACTCAAGCTCATTGCAGGCTGAGCCCAGAACCTTCCAGTGACCCCTGGAAAAACCCAAATGTTCATCAAAGTGAAAAACAAATGGTAGCCCATTCATATGATGGAATGACATTCAGAAATAAGAAGGCATGAGATAACCATGCATATGGCAAGGATGAATCTTGAAAAAACATCTAAGTCAAAGAACCACACAGAAAAGACTTGCACACTGTAGATTCCAGACATCTAAACTTCTAGAAAAGGCAAATCCATAGTGACAAAAATCAGACCAGTGTTTGAAGGAGAGGGTGTGAGGAGGGGATGGACCATAAAAGCATACAAGGAAATTTTTGGGGTGATAAAAATGTTCTGAATCATGACTGTGATGGTTACATGATTGTCTATCTTTGTCAAAAGTCGCTGAATGGTATACTTGAAGTCGATGAATTTTATTGTAAGCAATAATACTTCAATAAAGCTGACCAAAGGCAAGAAGAAAGGAAATTGAAGTCATATTACCTGAATTCTCTGAGCTTGTTTCCTTAACTAGAAAGTGAGAAAATCCTAACCATGGACTCATTTAAGAACAGGATTGCTCCAAATGAATGTCACCTGGAAGCCTATTGGAAATTCAGACTCCCAAGCCCCATCTTAGACCCCGTGAATTGAAATTTTCCTGGTGGAACCCAGAAGTCTGTTTTAGCACATTTTCCCAACTCACTGGGAAAGCACCAGTTCTTAAATTTTCTAACCCATCACAGACTTACTGTAAAATTCACACCACTCACAAGTTGCTGTGCAATCTGACAACACCTTTCCGCTCTAAGACCTGCCGAATGAGATGAGTTCCTGATCATACTACTGGACACCATTGCCACATTAAATGGCTGCTGAGCTTTTCCATGCATTTCAGGATTTAGCTGGAAGTAAAGAGAGTGCATGAACCACACTGTGAACAGTGCTGCTCTCCAAACACAAGCTGGTTTGGGTCTCGTATTCCTTTCTTAGGAAAGCTGCTCCTTCCCCTCTCTGCAGTAATTCTCTGGATGAGGCCAACCTCAACCTCAGAGACAGGTATGGAGCACAGGCCTTATCAATCAGACTCATTCCTTAACCTTTAATGGGTCTTTTTCTTTCCCTGAGGACCACATGCGGCTGTAGTTGCTGGTGGGTATGTTGTGGTCATGTGGGGACAACCTGTCAAGAGAATGAAGTTCAAATTACAGAAAGTAGAGAAACAGAGTCTTGATATTTGAGTCCTGAAACCAGCCATCCCGGAAGGCATGGGATTTTACCCTTGAACTTTTCAGTTACAAAACCAACAGATTTCCTTTTACCCTTAAGCTAATTTGTTCTGGGAATCAATCACTTAGAGCCAAAAAATGCACCAACTAATAAGTCTTTTGGCTTTAAAGAGTACTTGGGAGACTCAAAATGAAAACCTAGGGCTTTGCAAAAAGTGAAGTCCTCTACCATTGCCTCCACAGCCAGCTGCTACAGTATTTTCAAGGATTTGTCTTCTACCTCCACCACCAAGCAGAATCCTCATGGGGTTTCTCGAAAGCGTGTGTCCCCAACATCTCAAAAACAGCAAAGCCTCACCCATCCTGTCTGTACCTCTGAGGCAGACAGGGCTGCCGTGTTTGGGTGAGGACTTTTCCAGAGCTAACACAGGCTTTGGGGGTCTGAATCTCACCTCTGAGGGCAATCTTGGTAATTTCTATACATACGTTTGTTTTTCACATCTGGAGAGTTACTGTGTAAAGGCCAGTGATGCAACTAAGACATCCCACAGTACATGGCCCCCTGTAACACGGACTATCTGGCTCCACGTGGCAATAGTGCCGCTGAGAGTTAAGCAGCTGGGCTTGCCATGTAGTCTTGGGCAAACACTTTTACCTGAACTCAGATGCTTCACATTGCAAATGGGCAACAGAGTTAGCCCACTGCTGCCGACAACTAATAGCATCATGGGAAGAGCTGGCCCTGTGTCGTCGGCACACTGCTGCTCCCATGTGGTGGTCACTCGAACAGAGCACAATTGCTCTACGAGACTTGGGAAAGAACAACTTTTCCTTCCCTGAAGACTCAGAAAGACAATGGATGTGGCCAGCAAAAGGCGGCTCAACTCCCATCACTGCAGGAGAAGCTCTGCCATCCCTGAGCCGCTGGACTCCGCGCTCTGGGAGGGCCTGCTAGGGCTCTGCCGGCTGCTCTGCCTTTTGCTGAGGCCCCTCTCTGAAAGAAGCCACATGTGTCCTAACAGCACATGCCTGAGGTTAAAATCTCACAACCCAGGCAATTCCTTCTAGACTCATAACCCCCGGTAGACTTAGAAACAGGAATGATATTGATAGTGAAGATAAATAAATGCTGTCATTGTTTTCATTCTTTTCAAGTGACATGAAATGGGAACATACTTTCTTAATTAAGAGTCTGTGGTATGTGGATACTTGGAGGGCAACCAGATCTCCCCCAACAAAAGGCCAGAACACAGGCGGCGAGGACAGCATGGCTCCCCTCAGATGGCCACAAAACCCCAGTGCAGCAAGGCTGCCCTGCCCGCCCGTTGTGCTCTCTGAGAGCTGGCGTCAATCGCTCTGGAGGGGAGCAAGGAACAGCCGTGGCTGAGGGCACACGAGGGGTGACCATGACCGAAACCTGCTTGGGACTGTTTTCATTATTGCCCCAGGCACTCCTTGAACTTGGGCCAAGGAAAATGCACGTTCCATTTCAGAAATAAGAGCAAAAACGAAATGTGACTTCCTGAGGAAATGGAAATGCTAACACCGGAGCCCTTGGAAGTGAAACCACATGTTTATGGTAAACGGTGGTGGGGCTCCAAAAGCGATTCCTGTGGACATCTCTACCAACTGGAAGCCTATTTCACTTTGTTTTATTTTATTTAACTTTGTTTCCCCCAAAATACCAGGTTCCTGGTGGCAGTGGTAGGGGTGCTGATGGAGCCTAGAGCAATACAGGAAACATGTGAGGAGACAGGATTAAAGGCCTCATGGCCTCTGCTGTGCCATATTCCAGGTCTGAAACAATAAACAGAAAAAGTGATTTCAAATCAGCTTTCTCTCAAAAATTCCTGCTAAAGCTGGAAAAAACAATCGGGCGTTTACTCTGAGGAAAAAGTCCTCTGACGCTTGAAAGGCAAGATAGCATCGTGGATAAGGGCAATTCCTCGCAGTCCGCCTCTTGGAAGGAACGGGAGAGGAAAAGGGAAACATTTGGCATTTGGTTAGCAACAGCTGAGTGGGTTCCGATTACTTCAAGAAAGATGTTTTCATGTGAATAAATATGACATATGGCGTATCACACAAACATGCTCAAACCAAGCCCCACCTTCCTGTGTCTCTTGTCCCCCTCATTCTGGTCTCTAGTTTTACTGACTGTCTTGTGCTTGTTAAATCTCTCTGCAGCATCAAACATATACAGCCCAGGTCTTACAAGGTTGCTGGCACCTGGACAAGCCACATGTCAAAACCACTGAGGTGTAGGGTGTTTGCTGCCAGGCAGGGGAGGGAACAGAGAGAGCAAGGTGGTGGTCTGTGGGTCTGCAGATGGAAGAGGACAGAGGCTGCAGATGCTGCTGTGGGGTTCACGGGAGCAGACTTCTTTCTAGAAGCCCCACAGTGTAGGCAAGGAGGTACCCAGGAGTCTGAAAAGAGGCAGGAAGAGCCGGGCGGGGTGGTGCACGCCTGTAATCCCAGCACTCGGGAGGCTGAGGGAAGAGGATTGTTATGAGTTCAAGACCAGCCTGGGCTACATAGTGAGTTCCAGGTCAGTCTCAGCTACATAGTGAGACCCTGTCTCAAAAAACAAAAACAAAAACAAAACAAAACAAAACAAAAAAGAGGCAGGAGGCTGAGACAGATGGAGCTTCAGACATGACCTCCTTATCCTTAAGGCCAAGAAAAGGAAAGAATTTAGATAGCTCCAGGCAGGGGAAGCAGATGAAGAACAGGGCGGGTAAATGGAGGGGGAGGTAGACAGAGGGAGCACACAGGGCCACCAGCCAGGGGGACCTAGGTGCTGGGCAGCATCTGCTGGAATGGGCCTGGCATAGGAAGAGCGAAGGACAGAGAGGGGCCTAGGTTCCAGGCTTGCTCTCAGGGGCTGTCTCTAAGCGAGGGCTGAAACAGAGGCTGGCTCCTCTGCCCAAAGGCTCCGCCATCTCTGACTGCAAACCTGGCTTCTATACCTCTGTACCAGCACTGAGAGGAAATAAGAGCAGTGGAGTCACAGCAGAAAAGGCACCTGGTTCCTGAGTGTTGGTTCTTTAAAATGCTGGGGTGGAGAGAAACACCAATGCATAACCTATACTTGCTTCTATTTTTGTAGATGATTTGCCTTTTACAAATGAATGAAAACAGCTATTCTAAAAACACAGCTGCAAAATCACTGAAGAGCCTAGAAAGCAAAGGACTGTAACCGCCAGACATCCTCCTCCTTGCGTGTAGAGACCAGTAATGTGAGGGTGCTCAGAACTTGTGTTTCACCCTGCATCGCCTAAGGCAGAACCTCCAGTGATCCGGGAGCGGTGGGTGGTGTTGGACCTCCTGGGTTGGTGGCCCAGGGCCTCTCTCACATGTGCCCTGCTTACAACTATCCACTTAGGAGGACATTCTTTCTAGACCCCCTTTTCCTTTTTAAAAAGAAATCTGTGTACATTTGCATACAGTTGTAGAAACTGCAAGAGCCAGGCCATACGCAGATACAGGAAATCAACTCTGTGGGGAGGGGGAGAGCATCTGTGTTTCCTTCCCAGGTGATTCGGGTGTTGCATTCATTGTAAGTCTCGCCACACTGTGTCCCCAGCACCTGGAACAGTGCCAGGCCTAGAGCAGGGTGCAAGAGTATATGTAAAACAAGCAAACAGATCAATTTGACAGGGGAGGGGTTGTGGTTCCAAACCTTAGGCCCACATTCCCTTAACATCCCCCTCACGGTCAGTCTGCCCAAGAAGAGAGTCTCCCCGAAGCACTGGATGTCAGAGTCACTCCTAATGTGGCTACTGTCCAAAGGCAATAAAGGGGCCAATATGGCTCTCTGGGCTTCAGGTGCCAGGGCTGAAGCAAGGCTGGGCCAAGCTGCAGGCTGCACTTGAAACTGCAGCATGGGGAGCCCAGATTTTCCAGGGTGAAGCAGTCTAAACCTAGGCCCCGCCTGGCCTGCAGTTCTCAGAAAAGCCCACTAGGACAAGGCTGGACTTTACCTCTAGCTCCACCTTTTGACACTGTATGACCTTGGGCCCCTAATTTTCTCTAGACCCTGCTGGTACAAAATGATGACTTTCTCCTTGTATAAAAGGAGAGTGAAAATGTCCCTGCCTCCTACGTGGTTAGTCTCATTGGAAGGCTGTGAGTCTAGTGGAGTAGAGACATCAGAGGACATGGACCTTTTTCCAGCCTCATAACCCCCAGTAGTAATTACCACCTCTGGGGTCTTCTAGTATCATTCATATGCAAGCATAAGCTTAAAGGCAGCATTTCCCAAAGGCCTGGATTACAGAGGGAAGGCTTCCACCTCAAGTTCCATCACAATTTGCTGCCTAGCCTGAGGGTAGTTACAGCCCTCTCAAAGCCTCAGTCTCAGAAGCAGCTAAAATTTACCTTTGTATGACAATGCCCTTACCCTTGGGGCTAGCTGCACAGAGCTGCCAGGAGTCAGCAGAAGGTTGGGGCTCTAAAACCTCAAGGCTGGGCCCTCCTAGCCTTCCTAGGCCAAGGCCTGGCTTCACCTGGAGCTATGAGCTAATAAAGCATAAGCCACAGAAAGGCGGGGCCAGGAAGTGGCAGAGCAAGGCCCAGGCCAAGGCAAATAGCAGGCTGTGCGAAGACCTGGCTGTCCTGCCCAGCCCTGACAGGCGGCCTTGCTTCTTCCTGGGCCACTGGCCAGGGTCGAGTGAGGCTTACAGCTGTGCTGACCAAAAGCAGCTTGAGAAGTGAAGCCCTGGAAAGGTGGAGGCAGTGATCATCTCCTGATATCCTGATGTGTCAGTCTGGAGTCCTCCAGTCCTCTTGACATGATTCCCACTGAGGGCTTAGCCAGTCTGAGTCTGCACACTCAGGAAAAGCACTTGGCCTCAGAATGTTCCAGCTCTTTTCAACTCTGCAGTGTGGAAGTTAACCTTAATTTGAAACCAAGTCAGTCTTTTTGTGACAGTGTCCCTTGGCCCTCATTTTGGGGATGCAAAGGACAAACATTTGGAGGCTATTAAGCAGTGTTCATGGAATCTTCTGTCAGATAAGCCTCCAGTTCCCCCAGTCAGCCACAGTGCCACACCCAGACTCTGTTTCCCCAAGGGAGAGAGTGCTGTGGGTTTGGCCTGCTGGAACCCGACCCGGATCTTTGGTGAATAAATGTCAAACTACGTCAAGTCCTTTCCTTTTTGCTTAGCTTAGCCCAGCCTTAGTCTCATGAGGGGTTGGGTTTGCTAATGAGGGAGAAGGGGTGCATTCACAAGCACACGGAGCTCACCCAGAGCTCAATTCCAGACAAGAAGTGTGTGTGGTGGTGGGGGTCATGGTGTTTCAGCAGGATGCAGCACAGGGAAAGCTGGGGCTTGCATTCAGGCCGCACTTAGCAGACTTACAGCACAATGGTATTGGGATTTTAGTAATGGATTTTTAGTTTGGCAGAGCTGGCAGTTTTCAGAAAAGGACAAGTGGAGTCTGACAGTGGCCTTCCCACTTTGGCACTTGGTGTATTATAATTACAACAACAACGACTGAAGCAACAGCAGCTGACACTGCAGGTTACTTTATGCTTACTGTACTGCAGGCATTTCACATGATTGTCTCGTGCAACCCTCACAACTGCCTCTGCAATAGGTGCTGTTCCCAGCCTATATTTTAGATGCTTAGGAATGAGGGCCTGAGAAGGAACAAGGCCAAGATCACGGAGTAAGTAGGAAGCAACTCTGGAGTCTGAACTCAGCTCCTGCTTACAGCAGAACAACTAATCTGCATCTTTCAGCTTCTTGGGATCTTCAGCAGCAGCAGTCAGGACTTGGGAGACTCAGAGGTAGGTGACAGCACACCAATGGCACCATGTGGTAACATCCACGGGGCAGGGGAGGCATAGCCTTGATGTCCCAATAGTCTAAACATTATTCACTTCCTCAGTACAGGCTGCTGTGCCCTGAGTCCAGGGGTCTGGGAAAGCATGGCTGCCCACACGCATCAGCTGCGCCAGTCAGGAGAAAGATCCAGAAAGCCGGACCTGAGGGTGCTACATGAGTCCTTCAGCTCTGTGGCTTACACTGCATGGGCGTCCTGCAACTCATGTGCTGTCTCATGCCTTTGGCCGTTGTCCTAAGAGTTCGCTTTGCTTCCTCAGCTGAGCAGTAAATTCTCTGGGTTGTAAATTCTCTCTCCACCACCACCCCTAGCATCTCCCCTGTAGAGAGGCTGGGACAGTCTAGACACATATGAGGTCACCAATAAATATATGATTGATGAAAGCAGGAGCAGGCATGAGAAAAGTTATTCACCAAGACCCTGTTTACACTTCTTTTGTCCAAACAAATCTGTTGCTCCTTTAAGGGAGAGTCTCAAAGTCCCTGGTGTCCAGAAGTAAATGCTTGGCTTTAATGGGGTGTTGGAATTGCATTTCATAGCACATTCCTGTGCTGGGACCTACATGGAGGCAAGTCCTTAAACCAACAGGACAGGAGTCCAAATAGGGCTACAGCAGGCAGCGACCAGGCTGTCTTGTGCCTTGTACATCTCAGCACCTAATAGAGAGCCAGGCCCAGAGCCAAAGAGCAAATGAATGAACAGATTAATGACCAGCATAGGTGGCTGGCTAGCTGATGCCTATGTTCTAACATACATGTTTTTAAACTTCTCCCTGCATGAAGCCAGACATGATCTGCCTCACAGGAAATGGAGGCCCTGTGATGTGAACAGGGAATGGCTGAGGACAAGTTCTTTAATAAACTTCAAAGACTCTCACTCAAGGGTCCCACCCAGGCCTGGCACACAGACACTTATTGAGACCTTTCCAAACTCCCTCCTGGGACCTGGCATTTTACCCTCCATGAGGCAGAGCCGTTTCTGTCAGCCTGAGGCTTGTGATCAATGCCACACAGGTGTCTCATATAAATCTCCAAGGGCCTTCTCTGTGTGGAGCCAAGTAGATGCTTTTAATCATCAAGAAGGAAAAAAAAAAGGAAAATGCCTCATGCATTTTCATTTTTATCTAAGTAAAAGAGCACAATCAATTTGTCAGCACGCAGTATCACTTCGTGCCAAATACCACTTATTTTGAACTAAAGCTTTCTCAGCTACACAAACACAGAATAGATGCACGCACAACCCAAAACACATGCTTTTCTTCACTGGTTTCTTTCCTTTTTAAGAGTCTCACATATCTCCTAACTGTCTGGACCCTGTAAGCTCTGTCACGCCTGGAGCGCTGCTCTCTTCCCTCTGACTGCCAGGCCTGAAACAGACGTTCTCACAGATACTGAACTGATGCAAAAAGCCAGTAGGCAACCTTCTCAGTTACTTAGCACAAGACAAATACATGGGAAAAAGGAAAAAAAAAAATGACTGGGACAATGGAAGAATACAATTATGGAGAAACCCCTATGTCTAACTGGTCTAAAAATGTAACTCATAACGGCTGTTTGTTTTAAATTATTCCTTGCCAAGAGCAATGTTGAGATGATTGGAGCATCCAATGCTTATTTTTCCTTCTGAGCACCTGGTGGCATGGACAGGAGCTGTGCTCAGACACTGCCATAACAAGCACAGGCAAACTCTAAGCTCCTCATATTCAGCTTGCCTCCTCCAAAGCCCTCCAAGGACATCGTACTGGGGGCTTGATTCTGAAAGGCCAGGCTGTGACTGTGTCTTGTACTAGATGAGTCAGTACCAGCTAAAGCAGGCAGCTGGTGAAACAGACAAGGTCCTTATTTGGGGCCAGGAGCTGACCAACCTGGACCTCCATGCACCCAGAAACAAATGCGAAAGATGCACCACCTGGTCTAAGCAGCCACCAACAAGTGAAAAGAGCACTCCAGACATCCAGTTCATCCAAAAGGTGGCTTTAGAACTGCTTCTTCATTCTGGAAGGACAGCTCACAAATGTTCAAAGTTGGGCTTAAACCACAGTTGACAAAATGGTGCCCTGACCCTCTGGTCCAGATCAAAGCAGCTGTGGGGCTTCACAAGAGAATTCCTCTAGACTCAGCTGCCTTTTTGCCTGTTGATCAACTTAGTTTCCAGCTCCCTCAATGCTGACGACCAGGCTTGCTCAGCTTATTTAGTCAGGGGTGGATTTTTTGCTTCTTCTCTTTATGCTTGATTTACTGAACACCTACCTATACTTCCTGCTCAGTATAGTGCTAGGCCCAAAGGACCAAGTGATCAACAGTAACATCCACCAGCCCCGCCCAAGAGCTGAGTCTAGCTCTGGACTCTTCCCTGCTACTGACTTAGAACTCTACAAGGATGAGGTGGTAGAGAGGAAGGGCATGAAGCCATCTGTAAGCCACCTGGACTCATCTCAGCTCCACCTCTGGGACAGAAACAAGTGGCTGTCTCCCAGTAGTTTATCATTATGTCTTCTGTATTAGTAGATCTCCTGGTGGACACATGACTCCCCAAAAGAAAGCCTACATTTCCCACGCACCTCTGTGGCTAAATGTGGCTCAGGACATAGTCTTGACCAATAAAATGTGAGCAGCAGTAATGTGTCCATGTTAGTTCTCGGTTATACCCTTGAAGGGAAAGGGTGTGTACCCTTCCTTCCTTTTCTCTCTTCCCACAGACTTGAATGCAGATGGAGTGGAGCCATCTTGGACCATATCAATGAGGGCAATATCCTAAGACCAGAAAGAGCCTGGGAAGTGACTGATCACATAGACAGTTTCCATAACAGCTCTAGACCCCACCCCACAGTTTTTTGAGGAAGAAATAAGCTTTAACTTTGTTGAAACCAGAGAATGTGGATGTCTTTATTATAGTAGCTGGACCTATATTATGACTGACCTAATCATATACTAGCTTCATGATCACCTTGGAGGCTTACTTTCTTGATCTGAAAGTGGAGATATTAGGACCTACCTCACAGATATGGATAAAGGTGTTTATCACAGTACATGGCACATGGCAGGTCCTCAGTAAACCAAATCTGCTCGCTATGATTGTAAGGAGTAGCCATCTGACAAAAATCTCTTAAATCTACAAAATCTCCTATATTACACTCTTCATTTGTGAACCTGGAGAGAGATAGAACACAGGCTGCCCATCAGGTGTAACCTGGAACTGAACATTAACCCACCTGCATCTCATCCTTTAACTCTGGATGGTTTCAAACACTTTTGCCTGGAGCCAGAGCCCCAGGTATGGCTTTAAATGCAGTGTACCCATCTACCTCTCTCAATCTGACCCATGGTGATATAATATGTCACTGAGGGTCGCATGCTCCTCAGGCAGCTCCTTGTAGCTACGCAAATAGAGAATCAATTCCCTGGTGGAAGAAAGGTCATCAAATGTCAAACAGCACACATTCACTTCTCAAAGTAGTGACATGACATGCTGAACACTTTTCCTCCCTGTGAAATACTATTTGTCTTCCCTACAATATCCTGGCTCATTTACATTGAAAGAACATTTCATTAAGAGTTATGGTTTAGATACTGGAAGGTTCTGAAATTAACAGAACTGTTTCTGTGGT